AGAGGGCAGTGTCACTGGCCCTCATATGTGGGATCCGAACCAGGGCCCTCTGGCATCCCAAGCCAGTTCTTAACCATCGCGCCACTCGGCCGGCCCAGGTTGTCTTATCTTTTCATGCAGCCTTTTCAGCACCTCCAAATAGTAAACTTGGTTAACTGTTTGTCCAGTTGGTACAAATTCATAATGAATAATCCCTATGATACCAAAAAAGGTTAGCAACATCATTGCAACAAGTTCATGAACTTAATTGTCAGGCCTCCTACGCATTTTCTATGGCTGAGTTACAGTGTACCACAAACTTAGTGGCTTAAAACAACACCCTTTTATTAGCTCACAATTCTGTAGGGCAGAAGTCCAACTGGATTTTCTGCTCATAGTTTCACAAAGCCAAGGTCAAGGTGCTGACAGAGCTGTATTCATTTATGGAGTCAAAGGAAAAGAATCTGCTTCCAAGCCCATTCATTTTGTTGATACAATCCAGTTTCTTGCATCCATAGGATTAAGGTCCTCAGTTCCTTGCTGGCTGCAAACCATGGGCCACCCTGTGTTTGTAGAGGCCTCTGCATTCCTCATCATATGGACCCTCCATCTTCAAAGTGACTGGAATCTTTCTCGTGCTTCAAATCTCTCTGACTTCCTCTGTGCCTTTAAAGGGACTCATGTAATTAAATTCGGCCCACCAGGATAATCTTCTTGTCTTAAAGTCAAGTGTATTATATGTGTATACTGTGTATTATATGAGGTGTGATTAAAAAAAAACTATGGCAAATGTTTAAATTTTTAAAAATTTATTACAGCAAAAGATACATTGCCATTAATCCCCCTTGCTTCAAACACACTTATCCCATGATTCTTGACACTTTCTGAAGCAATCTGGAAGTCCTCTTTCATGAGTGTCTTTAGTTGCACTGTCATGGCTGCCTCGATGTCCTAAATAGATTCAAAACATATTCCTTTCGTGGTCATTTTTACTTTGGGGAAGAGCCAGAAGTCGCACAGTGCCAGATCCAGTGAATAAGGTGGATGAGGACACACCGTAATGTTTTTATTTGACAGAAATTGCTGTA